TAGTTAACTCCCATTTACTGGAGCAAAGATTTCTTCGTAGTGAATACCTTATTTATGTGTGTCCCTTTCAAAACTAGTCTTGCTTAGTAGGTGCCTACTTCTCCCTTGGAACTGATTTTTTTTTTCCTATTTCTATCTACTCATTTTTACTCCAACAAGCATCTTCTCTCTTTTAACTTCAGTTTTCTCTAATATACTATTTATTTGACCACATCAATCTCTTGATCCATGGCATTCTTCCACTTTTCATCTTGGGCATCTTCTTCCAAAATCTATTGGTTCTGAAATTTGCCTTATCATGTTCGTAACTCTCCTTGTTGCTTCATAAACCTCTAAACGCTTTTAACCTCTCAAAGTGGTGCACTGTTATCACTTCAACTTGATGAACTTGAGATTAGAGCTGATGCATGCTCCACTTGCTCAGCATTTTGAACTTCAATTCTATTTTCTATTTTCAGAGGCAACAAGTCTTGATTTTAGCTGCTTCAACCCATTTCCATGTTTCATGATATTTTACATCTCCACCTATGATGATCTCGATTTTTGTGGGATTGTACGGGCTATAATTCTCACTAAGCTAAGTAATTTATATTTTTCTGACTTGTCATCAAGCTTCATCTTTTTATTTATTTATTTATTTATTTTCAGGTGGAATGTGTGAATAAGCATATTTTAACAAATATTCTCGAGTCTAGTTTGTTATGAAGTCCCATGAACAAATGTGATCATGAATTCAGTGTTGAGTCAGAAACTTCTCTCATAGAACATACTCTCCTCATTTAACAGACCATATTTCTTTATCTTGAAGGCATTCATAATCTCCACAAGCATTTTCAAAATTGTGAATCTTTCGATAACTTCAACTTCTGTCTTGAGCAAATAAATCATAGTTTCTCTGCTATAATCATCAAAAGTAAGATAACTGTTGCCTGCTATTGATGTAGTTTGCATTAGCCCACATAATTACATGCATCAACTGCCTGATTTGAATTAAATCTTGATGATTTTTTTTTTCGAGAATACATGCTTCATAAACTATATCATCCATTTTGGATAATGGCCTTTCCTCGACCATATGTTTATGACTGGTCCAGTATCCTCAAATGACCGAGCTGATAGTGCCTAACTATGTTTCACCCTTTGCAATGTTACTGAAAACTCCTTGGCTTTTTATACAAAAACTTCAATGGAAACATCTTTCTTCTGGATTACCTTGATGTTAACAAGAGGCTATTATTAAGCACAGACACACTACGGAGCCTGCCTCCTGGGTTTCGGTGTCCGACATGTATCGAACACTACGATTCCAAACATGTATACTACACACTGCTGCCGTGTTACCTTTTTTTATTTTTAAAAAATCTGATGACGCTCACCAAATCTCATGCGGTACCAATACACGAGCATGAGTTTGTAGTATTTTAATATCCTTCATGTGCAAAAAACTAGAAAATTCTGAAGTTGGGAGACAAAGAATATCTAGAGATGGAAGAGAGGTCTCGAAATTGAGAAGAGGGAGATCTCGAAGAAAAAGTAGAAGATAAAGATAGGGCATATGTGGTGTAGAAAAGAGAATGGAGAACATGGGGATGGGGATGGGGATGGGGATGGGGATGGGGATGGAGATGGAGATGGAGACAGGCAGTTATGATGATAAAGAGAGTGGGGGATCAGTTAACTTCTTAGGCAAGAGGCTAACCTTTTTATGTTCGATCACCCGAACTCTATAGTGGACACCTTTGCCTCTTCCAATGATCTATCGAACACTTGAGGGATTGTGTTTCAAACTTGGAGCATGGAATACATCTGCAACTTTCTTCGCTCCATTAACTGTCTTTTGAAAATGTTTCCTCTTTCTTTGATGTCATATTTTTTGTTATCACCAATTTTGACTCACTTTCAAAAGATCTATCCAATCTTGTGAATAAATTTGTGTCTCAAGTAATATGATTTCTCTAACAACTGTCAATGTACCAAATAGTTCGTGTCACTTCTGATTTTCCCTTGCAAACCACTGAAAACAATTTTTTGTTTTTTCATTCTTTTCTTCCTTGTGCATGTCGAACTTCTGCTTCCCTTTCTGTTAGTTTCTTTTATCAACAATCTGTTTCAAAATATCTACACTTTCCACAATTATAGCATTGAGTTTTATCTGAATCTCCACATCTTAATTCTCCCTCGTGATAGGAAGAATCAAAATCTTCCTTAATCTAAAAGATTTTGTTCTCATTATTTCTCTCTTCCACTTGCTCCTTGGCCACCTTTGCCTCTTGGACCATCTTTAAGAGAGAGCCTAACTTGTAATGCTTGTTCTTGAGGAGTGGAGTAAAAAAGATTAATCGACGTTCATGGAATTGAAGTGATCCATTGAGCTAGTAATTCAAAGGGTGGTTGAATTGTTTACTCTTCTATTTCCACCACAATGTGTTCAAACTTCCTCTTCATGAATTTTTTCAACAAATTCTTTAATCAAGAATTTGTTCTTCATTAATATTCAATTGATTAACAATTGAAAGAATGCAATCAAAATACTTTTCAACAGATTTGGGATTCTTCCATTTGACTGTATAAGATTATGCTCTTAGCGCTTGTAACCTTACCATTTTCACTTTTTCTTCACCTTTGTCGGTAGTCTTCCATGTATTGGATTCTTGCTTTGCTATATTATCTATTTGAATTGTTTCGAAAATTACTTCATTTATTGCTTGATAAATAAAGAACAATGCCTTGTTGTCTGCTCTTCTTTCTCCTTCAATTCTGTGAATTGTGCACGAGTAAGCCAAGATTTATTTTAAGATAAACATGTGCATTCTAGACTAATAGAATTATTAAATCTATTCATGTAGGGAGTTATTGAACAGTACCAATGTTCATGAATCTACTTCAAGATTTTCGTGTTAAAAAATTTTAGATTAATTTTAACATTTTTGGGCATCCTCAGTTAAAATCTAATGAACTATTTTTGTTGGCAGATAGGTTCCTTTGGTGCAATAACAAGGATTTTAAATATTGTACCAAAGCGTGAGGATCTCTTGAAAGTTGCAGCAGCTGGACCTTTGGCTGGGTTCTCTTTGGGCATTGTTCTTTTGCTATTAGGATTTATCTTGCCACCTGCTGATGGACTAGGTGTTATTGTTGATTCTTCTGTGTTTCATGAATCATTTCTAGCTGGAGGTATAGGTAAGCAAATAGCTTCGAGTTTTTTCAGTAATTTTTGATTGAAAGTATTCATATGTTAGAATGTCATCATGGAGGATGAGCATGACCCCATTTTAGCTATTATATCTTCAATATTTTTTTTTTTTAATTATTTTTTTGTAATTCTAATCTGCACTTTCTTTTGGATCATCATCCTAGTCAGAACAGTTATAAAAACTGCAAGTGCAGTTTGTTGTATATAAACTTTTGCTAGCAAAATTACTGAAAAAAAAATCTTTCTTTTTCTTGCTGTCACAGCTAAACTACTCCTTGGGGATGCTCTCAAGGAAGGCACCCCAGTATCACTGAACCCACTCGTAATATGGGCATGGGCTGGCCTTCTCATTAATGCTATTAACAGCATTCCTGCTGGAGAGCTTGATGGTGGTCGGGTCTCTTTTGCTTTATGGGGACGAAAGGTATGTCCAAAGCTAATCTACTAAGCCAGTAAACAACATGGATCACTGTTTATTCGTTTCTTAAGAATCTCTGATATCTGTCCTAATTGTATCATCATCATCATCATAATAATAATAATAATATTGTTGGATCAAGATAAAGAGTAGTAATTAGACTAAATTTATCAATCTTGCAGGCTTCAGCTCGACTTACCGGCGCTTGCATTGTGCTTCTTGGACTGGCCTCGTTGTTTAACGATGTGGCCTTTTATTGGGTAGTTCTGATATTCTTCTTGCAGAGAGGACCAATTGCGCCACTCTCTGAGGAAATTACAGACCCTGATAACAAACATATAGCCCTTGGGGTTGCAGTTTTGCTCCTAGGACTGCTTGTATGCTTGCCATATCCATTCCCTTTCACTGCTGATACTGTAACAAGCTTTTAGTAATACTAGCTAGTATATACATGCAATGCATTCTGGAATTTTCTGGGACAACAATTGAAGCTCTTTCTCCTAAGATAACTCGTGTGAACCTGCTCCCTATTGGCTCGTGATCCATAGTTGAAACTTGAAATACATTTACCACACTAGATAGGATATTCATCTGAGATGTTTATGTACATTTCGTTTAGTTCTTGTAACTGAAAAAGGTAAAGTTTTGATACGTGTAGGTATAATAGTAGAACTGGGTTCATTTTCCTTATTTTAATTTGTTCAAAGCATAATTTAATATTAATAGTAAATATTAGAAGCTAACTAGATGAATTACTTGAGACAAAAATATATTACTGTAGACTGGAGAGATACAATGGAATTGGATGCAATTTACATGTCACGCTCCTACACATTTGTTTATAATTTAATTCATCACAGTATTGTAAAAAAAAAATGTTTCTTAGCGATCGTGAGTTCTAAATATTAAAATATTGAGAAAGTTTTATAGTTGAACTTTTAGAATGCTTCTTCAAACATTTTTTGAAAATTCTTAATGGTAACATAAACTTTTATATACTTGAACCAGGCAGCACCCCGATTTCACGTTTGGGAGGATTGTGAATCATCGGTGGGAGATCAGCATCTTTGAAAAGATTAGTTAAAGAGTTCTCACTCAAATAAGAACTTTCAATACTGTGCTAAAGCAAAATCAGTGAATATAGAATATGTCTCTCTCCCGACGTTATATATATGTCAAAATTGGAAGGTAACAAATTGGCTTATGTTGAAATTGGAATTCAATAATTTGATTGATACAATTAAAAAATGAGTGATTCAATCGATATTTTAATGAATGTTCAGGACCAAAGGTCCAAAATTGAAATATTTGCCAAAAATATTTTTCTTCTTCCACCGCTCATTGATAGTCGGAGTCTTGGGACTAATCAGAGAGTCAAAACAAGAAAAAATGTCGTCTTCCTTTACCGACTTTTTCGACCAAGGCGACTCTCCATCTGCCGATTTCACTCACTCCTTCGACGATGGTTATATCGTCTCAGACCCATCTCAGCAATTCGACTCGTTTTCGAACGTCACGGAATCGGAGCCGGCTGCCGACGCCTCATCTCCTCCGCCAATTTACGTCTCCACAGGCGCATTCTCCTCCGATCCGCATGATTTCTCGGCGGAATCGAATGATAATGGTCCAATTCTGCGGCCACCGGCGGAAATGGAACCTGATGAGGGTTATGCTCTCAGAGAATGGAGAAGGTAAGATCTTTCCATTTATAATCTTATTTAGAATGGAGAGAAATATGTAATCTTATTTTTCTAGATTAATTTGATAAATGATCTAGAAACTTTTATGGTTCCTTGAATTTGTTTTTTATGTTCTTTAGTTAGGGTTTCCTTAGGTTCAATTTGAAGTTTTGCTGATCGATTTTCTAATTAAGCATACTAGTATATGGTATGGTTCTTGATCTTTTCATTAGGTGACATTATATCAGTTCCAATAAGACTTGCGTTTTCGTAGAGATCAATTTCCATGTCTAGTATAAATATGTACCACTAAGTACCATTTATTTGGTACGAAGTATATTGATTTTTCATAATTTGAAAAGGTTGTATGATTCATGGTTTAGAGATCTTGATTCTCCTGCAGAATTGAATAGTTTTTTGATGTGATGGAAGTTTTTTGAATTTATATTTCAGTGTGTTTTGAGGATAAAAATTAAGGTGTGTTTTTAATTGAAATCTAATATTGCACTTTACCATAGAAGGTTTTATGGGTTCAATATCATGGTGTTGATATTAGAGGATCTTGTTTATGGACAAAGTTGTTGGAGGGAGAAAATGTTAAAAATAGTATCTCCCTTACTAATCTTCTCTAGGCTGTTATCACACTTCTTATTGCTCATGAATGAAAATAATAGTGAATTGGCATTCTCGGTTCAATAATCTACCAGTTACTAATATTTATGATGACGATGTGTTACGCAGACAAAATGCTATTCGACAAGAGGAGAAGGAGAAAAGAGAGAAGGATTTATTGGGCCAGATTATTGACGAAGCCGATGAGTACAAAGTTGAATATTATAAAAAGAGGCAGGATACATGTGCAACCAACATAGCCAGCAACCGGGAAAAGGAGAAGGTGATTTTCAATACATATATTTCAATCTGTTCAAATTAACCTTAATTTAATGCTTGTAGTTGTTGAGGAAATTCAGTGTTCGTCAATTTTTTTTCCAGATGTTAAAAGCAAGTTTATTTTTACATATTGCTTTTTGAAAATTTGAACTCGAACAGTTCTTCTCTCCCCTAGCTTTTTTCCTACTATATTACATCTGGTATGACCAAAAATTGCATTTAAGAATTTTCCTTTCCATCACATGTATACAAGACGAGCAAATAAACATTTTTAACATCGCCTAATTTTTCATTCATGAAAAGCAAATGCGAGTTTCCTGTTCCCAAATTTGGATGGTGTTATGACGTGATTCTCTGTCTTGGATGTTTGGGAGTTCTAACCCGGCAAAATCTTGCATGTATTTAAGATTTTAACCATGACATGGGAGTTAGTACCCAAGACTACCTTTTACAATTGCCTAGGTGGGAAGCATTACATTGGTTGTGCCCAGTTTTACACTTCTTTGTGTATAGATTTTACTTTAAAAGGAAATTAAAATAACAGGGCAAGTGGGAGAAAGGTGATGTTAGACGAGCAAAAAAATATATATCTATTTGTTTTTCACTTTTTGTGTAGGTATAGGCTGACAAATTAAACCAACATTATGTGCCTGTTTGAGCCCCATTTTTTGGCTAAAAATGTATTTTGGAATAGTAGATTGACGGAGAATGTGTGGTTAAAAAATAAGGTAAAGTTTTGGGTTTGCGTGTAATATTTTATTTTATTTAAGAACGTGTGGTTGAAAATGATAGAGAAAAATTTATATTGAAAATGATGGAGATCAAACAAGGGCTATGGCTAATTACTGCGTTCATTTATCAGGTATTTGTGGCAAATCAAGAAAAATTCCATGCAGAGGCTGACAAGAATTACTGGAAAGCAATTGCGGAGCTAATTCCGAATGAAGTCCCAAAAATAGACAAGAAAGGGAAGAAGAAGGAGAAGCAGCCTTCGGTGGTTGTGGTCCAAGGGCCGAAGCCTGGCAAACCAACTGATTTAGCAAGAATGCGACAGATACTTGTAAAGCTTAAGCATAATGCACCTCCCCATCTGAAACCTTCTCTGCCAGCAGCACCTGCAACCACCAAAGCTGATACAACTCTTGTTCCAGAGTCTACTTCTGTGGCAGTCTCAGCTGAGCCGGTTGCAGTTGCATGATTATGGTTTTTATATGTTAGTTTGATTAGATTAGATATGAAGCTTAATTTTCTTCTCTTTCTTGCTGGAATGTCTCTAGACGTATAAAACATGGCATTTTAGACTCCAGACAGGCCTTTGATTTATTATCAGTTTTAGTTCAAAGTTGATAATAAACATTTTGTGTCTGATTTGTGAACCTAAATGCTTTTGACCTTTGAAATACATTGCTTCTGATTTGGATTTGGTACAGGTTTGAAGCAATACGTACTCATAGTATCAACTTTTTACTATTAAATTGGGTATTTGGCAAATTTAATGCATCAAATATATTATAAAGCGATATAGTCACTTTATCATTGTTTAAATTTTTTTATTTTCTTAGGAGTAGGCGTCGGGTGATTCATTCTAGGCATTTTACGAATGTAACCTCCAAATAATTTTCGGATATTTATAAATCAAATCGGAATCGGCTCGATTAAGTACTAACATGTCTTCAAATATAGTTATTTTGTTGCTTTAGAAAAAATATTCTCTTTCAAGAAAAAAAAATGATTACGTTTTTTATTTGAACTTATTTAGAGCTTGTTTGGTAACACTAAAAATCCAATTAAAATTGAAAATATAGCCGTTATTGGGCTCCATCCGTCTAATAAAAGTCAACAATAACAGCTAGTTTTTCAATTTTAATCCGATTTTAATCTCTACCAAACACACTCTTGACTATCAATTTTCAATTCTCCAATTTATTAGCCTACCTCATATTGTCATTTGATAATACGATGGCACTTGGTATTATATAGGATTTACTGTTAATTTTTTTTAATAGAGACCATTAATGTAGTTATTAGAAAACTAATACTCTGTTTGATTGTATTGAATTCCATAAAAAGTGTCACATTTGAGAAAAACGAATTCCACTTTAACCGTTTGATTGCAAATTTGCAACGTGGAAATGGAAATCGAATTTCAAGATACAACCACTTTAAGTTGCATATTCTTTGTTTTCATGAAAAACGAATTCTTATGGATTTGATGGGGTTTTTATTTTCCAACTAACATGGAATTAGAATTGAAATTGGAATTCCTTTCCACATTTACCTATAATTCGATTTCCATTTCTACATTGTAATCAAACGGTCAAAGTGAAATTTATTTTCCTCGAATGTGACATTTTTCATTAAATTCGTTACAATCAAACAAGGCATAATTGATTATTATAGGTAAGAAAATACGTTCATGAGCTTTTGAATACTTACTCAAAACGTCAATAACCATAGTAGTAATTAATTCAAACAAAAATACATTTCTTGAATTCCAAGACTCTTTCGCCCTTTTCACATTTTCGTCAGTATTAGAAAAAGAAAAACATGGTCAATCCAATTAGAAAAAATTAAAAATAAACTCGGGGTTTTATCATAGATTGAACAAGTGAAGATCGGTAATGGCGGAGGCGAAGAAAATGAGAAGCGACGCGAGTACCAGCGGTGGTGGTGGAAATGATAACAGCAGAGGTGAAAGTGTCGTAATCGATGTCGGTCGCCGTAAAAGCTCATGCGGTTACTGTAAATCCGGTAGCCGCACCAGTATTTCCCATGGTCAGTCTCTCAATTTACATAATTACACATATAATTAATTCAGTTGACTAACTGGTTAGTAAATATCGTTTGAACAGTGTTAAAAAGTGTGTAACGTGTTTGATATAGGAAGAGGTTTAAATTTTATTGAATTAGAATCCTCAGGTCTGTCTTTGAACTTCCTTTTTGGTTAGATCCTGAAAATAAAGTTGTTTTGGAGAGAAATTTGTTTGTCTTACATAAGATCTGTGGGATTTAATGAAGGACAAGAAATCACGCTGATGATGGGCGTATGAAGATTATGAAACTCGTGATTGTGAGCTTTGTCATGGAAATTTATTACAATTCTGATATTTGAAATTGACACTGGGTTTTATATTTTCGTATACGTATGGTGCTAGCTTGTAAGAATAATTAGATTTTGTTTTACTAAAGAAAAAACGATTTTGGAGAATTGGACTGGCCCATGATGGGGGTCATTGCGCAAGATATTGAATCAGACCAAAATACCTCTTTCGCCTCGTGTAATTCTAAGAGGCCACTGGATGATGATTCATATGAGGATTATGATACCCTGACTATCTTCGACAGTGAGGTATATTGGTGCAGCAGGTTGAGGAATTTGGGCATCAGAGCAAAATTGCAAGTTTACTAAAATGGAATTTTCGCAGTCAAAATATTCGGGCGTATTATTCTTTAAAAATCTAGCTAGCTTCTCCATAGGTTAGGGTTTAGGGATTGGCATTTATCCCTTAATGTTTTTGAACGACGTTGTCCAAAGTTTCATGTCAATGTAAAAGTAATGTTAGATTCACTCACACGCTATGCTAGAAAGTAATCACCCTTCATTATGCTTCTAATTTTTCACTTTACATGAATATGCATAATTGTGCCAAAGATTTTCTTGGACTGCGATCAAACTGGAAATGAAAATTATAGTAAGAGTAAATTCTTCCATCCTTATTCATTATTAGAGGGCCCAATTCGTGAAAGCTTTCCTTTATTATTCATTTCATCTTTCCTCACGAATCTTCTAAATTTGTGGAAGAGATACGTCTTGAATTTTTATTTTTTGACGTTGTAGGGTTATGGGCAGAAAGTTTGAATGTTGAAGACTATCAAGGTTGGTAATTTTTGCTCTCTCTCTCTCTGTAATTGTTTAGCAAAAACTTTATTTGTATATGATCTATAATTGCATAAAAGTTTGTTTATATGATATATTTATGTAGAGTTCATCACATGGTTGATAATGATTGTGTCTTACATTTAGTACATCATGTCTTGGTTCTCCTTTCCAACTTTAATATCTGGGGCTACTATTTGGTCCACTTAGGTATTATATCTCTAGTGTTAGATTCTGTTGCTTATGAAAATCAACTAGCAAATGAGCTGCCTTTTCTGTTTGTGATTGCGTTTCCTTTATTGGGGGTACCTAGAGAAGAAATCCCTAGCACATGAAATGGAATCGCTATGACTTGAAATGTACAGCACTCATATCCACTCTTGTTAAGATGTAGCTTTTATTTCTTTAGTTCTAATTGCACTGCCCTTGTGGCTCCTGTGTAATTTTCTTATGCGATGTTTCCAGTTGTTTAAACATTTTGGTACTCTTTTCTGGTTTTTTAAATTTATTTGGACTAGAGCAGCATATTTTTCTCAAAGTTCTCTTTCCGTAGCTCTTCTTGACAGAGGCTGGAGAAGATCTGGCTGCTTCTTGTACAAACCTGAGATGGAGAAGACTTGTTGCCCTTCTTACACTATCCGTCTCAATGCCAGTGATTTTGTTCCTTCTAAAGAGCAACTTCGAGTGGATAAAAAGATGCAGAGGTATATTCATATGGTTCCCTTATGTATTTTCATCAATGCTACCACTTTTCCACAAACAAGTTGCACAACAGTTATAAAAGTGAGCAACAGTGTGCACAGAAATGCATAGCTGTTGCAGATGTAGCTTTCTCTGTTGTATATTTGAATTTCAGTTTCCTAACTATTTTTTTGATCTATGATATTTTGTAATTGGCATTCTTCATGATATTTATGCAAATAATATATCTGCAAGAATGTGCTCAAGAAATGAAATGGTAATTGGACATTAATTGCCATAAGTTTGGTTACGTAATATATTTGCAACTTTTTCCTTTCTGATTTTAAAATTTTATGTCTCCGATTATCGTAATACAATTGGTCCAGTTTATTCTTCTGTCGTTTTTTCTTATTCAAATTCCGAGGACCATCACAATGGATTTTATTTCGAGCTTTAGTGGCTTCTGCTGATCTATACTTTCCAGTTTATTCTTCTGTAACTTCTTTACTCGTTCAAGTTCCAAGGACCATTGCATATCATTTTCTTTTCAGCTTTAGTGTCTTCTGCTAGTATATACAAGTATCTTTGCGATTAAATACCAAGTTACTCAAATATGTTTCAAAATATGCTGTAAAAATAGTATAAGAGCAGGATGACTTTCTTGTAGGTTTCTTGATGGCCAGTTAGATGCAAAAAGATCGGACAAGTTATTAGATGAACAAAATTCATGTGGGGGATCATGCAGCAATGCAAAAAATCGAAGAACAAGTTCTGCTGCAAAGGAGTCCTTGGAAGCTGACTATGAAGGTAAAGACAAAGCCCATCAGTTTATGCATTATGCATCACAGCAGATTGATAATATAGTACAATCATGTGTGAAAAATGGGGAGTTTTTCTGCGACGTTCAGTTGCCCAAAGCTTCTGTCAAAAAGGTTGCACCTGCTAAAAGAAAACTACTAGCAGAAGTATCGGAAGATCTCGTATATTCCTGCAATATTGCGTTCCAGATTGCAGCTACTCTAAGACGAAGCAAGACGGATGCTGAGCTGACAAAATCATTAGAACAAGCTGTCAGGGAAAATAGACACCCTACCGAGCTTTCTCCTAAGTTGATTGCCGAAATTTTGGCAAGTCGGTTAAAGGAGCTGGCAAAATTGTCTGGTTTGTTGATTAGAGCTTGTAATGGACACATCAATTTTTATTCTACCACAGAGCAGGCTCACTCAGTCGAAGGTGGAAATGCTACAAAACCAACACAATCTTTTACAGCAAGTGGTGATAACCGTTGTTTAAAGAAAACCAGTGGACAACCCAATGGCCAAAAGCGCATGTTTGAGATTCGTTTGAAAAGTTCAAGCTTTGATTATGAAGAATATTCTTTGTATAGGAAGTACCAACTTAGTGTCCATAATGACACAGACGATCATGTCAGTGAAAATTCGTACAAAAGATTTTTGGTTGACACTCCCTTGGTATATGTTCCACCAGATTCTTATGGTGCAGTTCCTCCTTCTGGCTTCGGTTCTTTCCATCAGCAGTATGTCATTGATGGGAAGCTAATTGCAGTAGGCGTCATTGATATCCTCCCAAAGTGCGTGTCTAGCAAATATCTATTCTGGGACCCTGACCTTGCCTTCCTGTCACTGGGCAAATTTTCAGCACTGGAAGAAATAAGATGGGTTAGAGAGAATCAAGTACATTGCCCCAGTCTCCAGTACTACTATCTTGGCTATTACATTCACTCCTGCAGCAAGATGAGATACAAAGCTGCATATCGACCATCTGAGCTTCTCTGCCCTCTTCGCTATCAGTAAGTAAATTAAATTTTTTTTGCAATTTTTCAAAATTTGAAGTGTAAGATCTATATTGGAAAAGATTCAGTAACCTAAATCTTTTGAAAAACACTCATAGTTTGTTGACTTTCATATGGACATTTTTAGGGACTATGATTCAGCTTTTCACTTCTTTTGGTTAACCTAATTCATTTCAAGGCACCAAATTGGCAACATAAAAAGGATGTTGTCGGTGTTAGACTGCTCGATTTTGAAAGATCAAACTATCCTAATACCTAACGGTACTGATGTTAACTGACACTTCAATCAGTATTATATGAGCAAACTGTTTGCATTGAAGTGGATGTGACTGCATCTGTCGACTGTGATGCTTATTTCCTACAAAGCATCACAGGTATATGATGCTATTGTCTATTTGCATTTTCATTTGAATGTTGATATCTGCAATTCTGAAAAAGCCTTGCTAAGTCTTTGCAATTGAAAGATATTGAGTTGTATATAAAATTCACAACTGAGTCCCACTTCTAAGAAATGTTTCGAAAAAGATATTACTCCAATCCTTCATTTGCATTCTCTATGTACATCATCAATCAACTAATTCTCGTTTGGATTCACTTTTAGTTTCTCCTTTACATACTACTTTTTTACCTATTCTAAATTTGAATTTAACAAATGGAATTCTACCAATAATAATCAACTCCTTGGAATATTAATCATCTAAAATATGAGATCTACATACTCCAAAGATCAATATAACAAATATTCATTATTTGTTAACTTCTAGACTTCAATGCTTTGATTGTCTATGCTGTTTACTTGGCAATTACCAGTCCTTATTCATTTTGTTCATATTTAAATTTTTATATATGAAGGAAATATAAATAGAGGAAAATTAAAGAGTGCAAATATCAAGTAGGCCATTTGCATATTAGAATGATAGAAATGGAACAAAATATGTCATGTGTATTCCACTGTGCCTTGCCAGTTTCAATAAAAGAAGGGGCATCAGAGGTTCACACCACCCAAATCCTTTATTGAAGTTTTGAAAGGCTTGAAGGAACGTTATAAACTCTCCTTACTTGGACTGACCTTCCTTTTACTGGCCCCAATGAACCTTGAGAATTTACATGAAAAAATCTTGTAAGGTTGAAGTAGGCAAGTAGCAATAAGACGATGAACAATCTGAGGTTGAGCGGTTATGGGTAGCTCACTGCATATGTGATATATATTGTTAGGAGACAGATCAAATTTTTTTACTTGAACTTGGTTGTTTTTGTTATTCACTAGAGTATTTCTGTTTGTGAAGACTGATGCTCCATTCTGGATCGCAGATCTTTAAATTTATGACATATAGTAATTTTAACACTTCTCTCATGATTGTTAATATATTTGGAGTCTTGTATGTGAGCTACCATAAGCATCCTGATCTGTCTTTTTAGTCATCATCTCTAACATGAGACTGTTTAGGTGGGTTCCATATGATGTTGCAAAGGTACTTCTAGACAGGAGAAAATATGTGGTCTTATCTGATATTGATCCTTCACAAAATGGAGATTCATCATCACCCCAACCTAGAAATGTTACCGATAATTATATGGAAATGGTAGAGCAACATGATGATCCTTTCCAGGAAGGTTCGAATGACATTTATGTTAATTATGATGAAGAAATGACTGAACTTGATTCTGGGGATTCAGATGATGAGTCAGACTCTGAATCCAGTGATCCAACAACAGTGGAATCAGAAGATGTTGATGCCAGTAATATTTTGATAGGGATAAAGGAAACTCGTCTTAAATACAAGGTATATAATATTCTGGTGAATTTTTTAGATTGTATTAATTTATTTTATGTTTGCATAATTCATAGTGATTAGATCAGATGATATCATTGAACAGTTAAATTGCCTGGCATATAAAAAGCTCGTTTGACAGAAATATCATCTTTTATTGAATAAAAATATCGGGGATCTAATTGTGCAAGCAACCACTCAATTGGCTCAATCTCACCTGCTACCTCATTTCATAGGTCACCAACCCTAAAAAAGTCACACAACGAACTCCTACTCTCTGTGTTTTTAGTTGAACAGAAATAAACTTATTATCGTCATCTCACAGTCCGCAAAATTTCGAAGTCATAACTTCAAAACCCAAGACCTTGATCATCAAATTTCAGCTGCTTACGTTTTCACTTTCCCCTTCAAACATTCATAGGAAGCTTGAAGAAAAGGCTACTCGTTGAAGATCTCTTATCAAGTAATGCCCCTTTCGGTGAGGTTTATATTATTGTCAAAATAAATATACATTGTCATCGATATCATGAGTCAGATGTTGAAATGAATTGATTCAAAGTGTGAAGTCACTTTTGCCATGTGTCTAATCTTGCAATAAATTGAGCTTTTTATCCTGTTATACAACCTAGAGAGAAGCCTGTATTAGCCAATTTTGAAAAAAAATTAATTACTTTTTATTTAACCATCATGAGAATTCAATTCATACAAACTTTTGGCCCAAGTCATTACTATGCACATTTTGCCTAAACTACTACTTTTATTCATCGTTATGCACCAATGAATCATCTAAATGATTTGACCCAAAGAGTGGACATGATTTAAGATGCTTTATCCATCATTCGCTCGATGAACTTATGGAAATTCCCTTTCAAAAGCTTTCCAACTTTATACATACCTACTGATTCCTATAATAGACTGCTTGATTGATATCATTGAGTCAGTCTCTGTTGTTACTATAATGCTTCCACTCCTATAGTAGTGTAGAACTGAGCATTTGAAGCAAGTCAAGCAAAAAACATAAAAAAATCTTGCTAAATTTCACACATTCTATAATGTAATTGCAATCTTTCTTTTATTTAAAGGATCTTCAACAAGCTTTTGAACCCAGTCAGAGAAAGTTAGTAGAGATCCAGTTGCACCAGTACCAGAGAGTTGTGGGCAAGGAGCTCTCTGAAAGAATGGCATACAAACTGGGATGATTCATAAATCCTGTGATATCTCAATTGAAATTCGAAGGTATGCTTCCTGGAGCTTGTGCATTCGAGCTTTGTTGAAGATTAAAACTTTTCTATGTATGTAATCCGTGGTGGGGAAATAAAAAACTTATTTATCCATGAATTCCGGGATTTAAATGGATACGTTCTGAAAATTAATGGTTTGTAAACGCATGATGATATTATATACTAAGCTGTGTTTTTATTTTGATCCAAATTTCTTGCTTTATGTTTACTATATTATTTTACGTTAACTGAGATTGACATGTTATGGAACTTGGATCAACAATTAACCGCTATCCTCCCCTCTCCCCGACCTACCCCTCTCGCCGAGTCACTTGGAAGAGGGTGAGGTCCACACTAGTTCATTTGTGAATCATCTCGTATTTTCTCGAGACCGATTCGCCCATCATATACTTACTAGCCTTTGCTGCAAAGTGCGGCGGTGAATGTTGGATGGCGAATGTTATGATTGATTTTATATAAATAGGGACATTCTTTTAGAATTTTACGTTCAAGTAAACCTTATTTATTTTAGATGTATGCCCACATTTTCCACATTAACAAGTGTATTTTCACATCTTTTTTTCGACCTGCCATCTTGTTTGCGGTGCTTTTGACATTTTAAATTGGAAAATATCTAAACCTTAGCCTTGTAATCGCAATCTTTCCTTTATTTTAGATGTAAATACCTATAAGCAAGTTATTTAATTTATTTATTCACTTAAAAGTAAATTACTAAATATATTTATTTACTTGTAAGTAATTTACTTATTTACTCAAGGATTTTTTCATCGTTGCTTGTCGATATGGTCCCAATGCTATCCACCACCATAGTATAGAAGTCTCCTATGAAATTTTGCAACAAATCGGTCAATACTTGTTGGCATTGTTTTGCAAATCATAAATTCTCCCTCCCGAGATGGTGGAATGCTATCAAATGAGAATCTTTGGTTAGGCTTATTGGAGAATTTATACTTCTTTCTCGAGAAATGAGTGTGGTTCTGGTCATGTTCTTGATATTGACCTTCATCGACTTCTTCCGTGTCTTCAAGAATGGGTTCTTCAGTGGTGGATCTGTCGTAAGAATTTCTAGAGAGTATTCTCCATTGTCAAAAGAATTTAATTTAAGTTCCTGGGGCTGGGAAGATTATTTGTTTCCTCCAGAGAATTAGTTCTTTGAAAAAATCTTGGTTTTGCATGTGGCAAGCCACAAACTGAAGATCAAATGCAAAAGTGAAAGCAATGGATGCATGGGATTGTGCCGCATCAAAGCATTTTCGGCATTAGAAATAAAATAATTGTTGAACATACTAAACTCTAAACATACGAAATACTTTCCCGGGGGGTTAGTTGCAAAAAGAAGTCATTAATTTCATTAGCAAGCCAATTTTCATACAACTGCATACAACATTAGACCCATGGTGTATGGTTCTATGTTACCGAGAAAAAGATTTCTTAATTGAATTCAATATTATACGCTCATTAAAAAGTGTTTCTTAGAATTCTAATGGTATAGGAGCAACGAACTTCGACCATGAACTAAGGAATTGTCCGGAACTTCTGAATAATCACATACTGAATTTATCAATAAAGGTTCTTATCCTCGTTGGAGAAATCCTGAATAATCATTGATTGATTCTCAAACAGAGTTGCTGCATAAATTTCTTGAGAATGCATATTCCACGTGGATGATATTACCGCCAACCCGACATTGCAACACGACAATTTCCTACCTTTTTGATTTTATCGAACAATAAATCAATAAGGTTTATTATCACCTAATATTACAGGATGTACTAAAGCAGCGAAGACATCGGAATGTGACTATGCTTGCTTTATTCTTTAAGCTTGCGCGAAGCATTTTGATGCGCTTGAGGACTAGATTGTCTATAGCTAGAATCATTGGAGATCATAATATCATCTCCAAGCCTCGTAATATATAATTTCTGTGATATCAAGTGTCCTAGTTTTTGTGCTTAACTTTCTGTTTGGCAAAACTTAAATTAGATAAGCTTGTCAAACATTCTTTTATCCACACATTAGTAGGATCCATTACTGCTATCCACGTATTATATGACTCAAAACTTATAATCACTTCCAAGCATGCTAATCCACACATTTCCTAGGATCCACAACTTTTTACTCACTACTATTCAAAATCCATAGGAATCACAACTTATGAACACACACAAGCACTACCACACAAGCATTTACTGCGGGACATATTGAAATTGCTCGAAAGAAGAAAAACCAAACAATGCAAAAAATCGATAATTGTTGTGGTATGTGACAATATAAAACAGCATACCCTAGACAAGAAATCAAGGATTGTAAGAGTGTGCTTTAACATGTTGAATCCAAGAACTCGCTGCTCATTTATAGAAATCATAGTTTTTAGTAGTGTTTTAACAAAGGATGAGGTGTCACTTATGGAGCATGTGCAATGGAGCTATTAAAACCCGATAATATGAATGTTAAGCTCTCAAACGAGGAAATTCAGAAGTTGGAAGAACTACAACTTTGAGGTTAAAGAATGTACACTTAGAGATACAATTCGAGATGAGGACTGACTAATCAAACATCATCGGCATCACTTCCTCCAACACGGGCATCAAGGGTCACCCAATAATTTCTTCCAACAGGCCCGGAAATCTGAAACCTGTTAAAGTAAAACGAAGAAGGCGTCTCAATATCATGCAAATAATATAATTTTTAACCTGCAATCTTGGTAAATACAGACCGCTCAAGGACGGATTTGCCTTCCTTGTACTTTTGACTCTTCTCATGAGCAGTTTCCTGAAAACGATCATTGAAAAGTTAATAATGACATACAAATCATGTCAGCTCGTGCAAGGGGATACGGCGCCTTCCAGTAAATGGATCTTACATATTTCCAACCAATAATTGAACCACACTGGACACAGAAAATGTCCACAACTGTGTGCAATCCAGTCATCATCGCCCTCTCTTCTTTTTCTCCAAAAGTGACATTCACCCTGTAAAAGAAATAAAAGCAATGTACAGAATATGTAACTAATTTGAAACGTAGGTTTTCCCATTTTTATTTTTCTAATATTTTTTTCTTTCCATTTGAGTTGTTTACACATCTGCAAATGCAAATGTTATCCTCTCAACTCTTTTGTGTGCATCCATGTGTGTGAATGTGAAGGTTTCTATGTTTCTTTCTTTTCCATTCATGAGTGTGAGCGTGTAATTGTGAATGATTCTCCAGTCCAAACCATGTTTCTCTACATTGGCTTGCATTCCCTAGAATAACCAAAAATAGACTGGACACACATAATGAGTTTCTCTACATTTAAGCATAATATTTAAAGTGAACCACGTGACAAGATTTTGAAGCTTAAAATTGATTCTTATTAATTACGGTAAAGAATCCATGCCAGAAACTAAAGACCATTATCTCTTGGAAATTCAGCATAAAACCAAGCCTCGTATTACTGATAACATATGATGCAAACTAAAAACTTTCACATCCATAGGAAACAGAAAATGGAGTTGAAAGTTATGTATATCCCTTCTGCAGTAATCATAAAACAATCAAAATTTTAGATTATGCTTTATAAACTTATGCTGGCTATGGAACTCCCTCCCTCCCTCCCTCTCTCATGTGTGTCTGTCTATACGCATGCAGTATTTAAGTATTCGTATAGTTAATCTCCATACAGGTCATAGATCAGGAGGAAAATTGGCACACATTATCAGAGGAAGAAAACTGAATCATACTCTTAGCTGATGCGAGTAAGAGAGTAACTTACAAAATCATGTTAATATTGGTTTCATGATGTCTTCCTGTCTTTGTTATCTTAGTCAGTCCAAAAATCTTTCTAGCCACAGATGGTAGCAACTACTATTTCAGATAGTTAACTAAAAGGAAAATAAGTCATTCTATCCAACGTCAAAAACATACATACTCTCCCTACATAAATTTTACAAGACCATTTTCGTGATCAAAACCTTCCTTAACCAATACTATTAGATGCAACAGGATATGAAAAGGAGAGAAGTCTTCAAATTTTATCAATTATAGAATCAGATAGAGCAAATCAAGAAACACTTACACCTTGTTGAAGAGATAAGCCTTCCCATGCCTGCTTTGGAAAGACTGAAACAAAAAAACCACAAGGAAAAGGAGTCAAAATAGGTGCTTCTTACCGGAACCTCTACTATAACGAGACTAAATATGCATCTTCACAAAGCAAACATAAAGACCAGTCTGCAACATTTAAAGTGATAAAAAAACAATTAAATAAGGAAAATTCAATCAAGGCACAGCCAGAGTAATTTGCCTTTCTTAAATTTTCTTCGTGTAAGTCTTTAAATATGCAGAAGAAACTGCTTTACCCTTTACCCTATCAAAAAAACTTGCAAATGCATAAGCTCGTATGTATCTTACAGAGAAATCTGACAAGAAAACAGATATGCAACAAATAAATCCCTACGGATTGTAAGTAGCAAAGAAAATTCAGTTATTTCAAACAATTACGAAAAACTAGAATTAAAAATGTAGAATCCCTATGGAAGAGTAGCAAGAAACTCTGTGCTAAAAAACTTAATACAGAAAAGCAATGTTATTGACGGAGATAAAAACTCCAAGGGGCGTGAAAAGTTGGGAAATGTTCTGAGCAGAGTAAATAGATGATGCATGTAAAAGTGGCTCGAAAATGCTAATCAAGCCAACAAAGAAAGAAATGAGCAACACTGAATGTCCATCAATTCGTGCATATGATGATCAACCAAAACAATTGTTGCTACATTTCTGTGTTGCCATGCTAAGCCCCCGGCAAACATCATGTTCATTCACTGGAAAAAAAAGGGGAGAGAGAGAGAGAGAACAGGAAACCGGACAATTGTAACTAAAAGACATAAGTGCGCATCCTTGAATCGCATTGTTCTCCCACGTTGTCCCGAGAGAGTTTGAAATCGAACATAACAATCTGACTATGGTACTAAATAGCATAACATAGGCATCATGTTTCTAGAATTCAATCATCTCTATGTAATCTAAGTCCTTCTACTAGGAAGTTGCAATTCATTTTAATTTAAATAATGTACTACGCCAGCATAACTAAATCATATGCACTTTTTAGCTAGCATACCAAATTTTTTCTTGACTCAAACATTTTTCACAAAAATAAAAAATCTTTCAAGAACTATCAAAATTACACAATATTCTCAAAAAAGCTAAGGTCCCATTTGGCAGGAATTTTGCTTCTAATTCTTTTACAAGAGCTTTCTTAGAAAGCTGCTATTATTATCCAAAAAGGATAAACTTTTGTAGTGTGATAAATGATTTTTTGCAAAATTATTTAAACATATTTAAAAATAACTTTTTACGACCTTACCAAACGGGGCACTAAGTCAACCACCATCAATAAAAGGTCACAACTTTAACTAAATTAAGAAAATCGACGAAACCCAATTCTGAATTTACATCAACTAGAAAAGAACCAAACAAAATTGATCTTCCCATAGATAGAAGATGGAAAAAAAACCTTGGAAATGACGTCTTCGGTGAGAGCAAGATGGGTCCCACAGTGCTTGCAACTATAGATGTTGCCTTCAAGAGTCACCACAAATACCCTTCCCATCTCCTCTCTTCTTCCCTACCAACCTTTTTTCAACCCCAGAAATGAAAATGAACACAATTTATGAAAATGGGACTTAAAGATTTGGGCAAGAAAACAGAAGTATATATAAAACTATCAACTGGAATGAAGATGAAGAAATTGGCAAGAGAGGAATTGTTGAAAACTTGAAAGTTTGAACAACCTAAAGTGCGAGAAAGGTGCGTGGGGATGGGATAAAGGTTGCACACAAAACACGTAAATTATGTGTCAGCCTGCCAACTACTCGTCATTTCCCACTACATCAATCTTTGGAACAACTTCGCAAATAAAATGGGAATACAGATAATTGTTATAATTGAAAAAATATTGTTATTTATAATATATAGATCTGAAATTCATTTTAATGATTTTATATTTATGGTAGATCAGTGACGGATCTAGGATTAGATCCAAGACTGGGCTACAAAATTTCAAATCGGACTAATGCACAAAAAAAAAATTACACATGAAAAACTGTTTAAGAAAAATGAATTCATTTTAATGATTTTATATTGATGGAGCATGTATAGTTAAAAATGAAAGAAAAATTTTTAAATTGCGTATAATATTATCGTATTAAAATTGTGGTTGAAAATAAGAGGGAGAAAATTTAATTTTAAACAAATAAAGATCAAACAAGAGCTTAATTTAAGATAAAGTAAACAATTAATTTTAATTATATATTTCATGATATTCACAACTTTTCAATCACGTATTTCATCAATTTTTATTAAAATTTACTAAAAATCTAATTTTAATACTCATCAAACAAGAACATAGCATTACTCACATTAAATTGTATTTCAAGTGATATTGAAGTAAAATATAATTACATGCCAAAGTGAAAACAACTTGAGTCCCATTTTTTTTTCCATTAAAATGTATTTTTGAACAATGATTTTACGGTTTTACCCCATTACAATCACAAGTTCTTCAATAAAATAATATTACACACAAACTCAAAAAAAATTGCTTATTTTTTAATCATTCATTATTCATCACACTTTTATAAAATGCATTTTTATTTTTATTTTGTAAAAAGGGGGCTCAAACGAGCCATAAAAAATGTAATCAAATATAACCATTCACGTGTAAAATTGTTGTTGCTTTAATTTCTTTTTCCTCTCTCTCAATTTTCATTTTTTTTAAGCATATTATTTATACTTTGAATAATTAGCACATAACGTCCCCATCTTATGCTATTATTTTGGAAAATGCATCTACCATTCATTTTTTGGTATTTTTACTCTTATTTCCACCTTTCATTGCGCAAAAGATCAATTTCATCCATTTTTTCAATTAAAATTTATGAAATGACGAATATGCAAGGCTCTTTCAATAAAACAAAATGAAAAAAAATAAAATTAATTGCAATCATAGTCCCAATTTTATTTTTATTTTTATTTTTTTGAAAATGTCTAATGAGTCACAAATAAATTATTAAAAGGGTAATTACTAATTAGTATATAATGTCCATATCTTTCACTATTATTGCAAAAAAATATTTATATACATTTAATTTTATTTTTGACATTTTCAGCTTTAATTACACATTTAATTGCGCAAATCGTCATTTTTATCAATTTTCATCTAATTTCTCAATAAAAATTGTAAAATGACGAATATACATTTCTATTTAAATTTAAAAAATTAAAAAATTAATTGCAATCATATTCCAATTTTTTAAAAATGTACAAATGAGTCATCAATAAATTGTTAAAAAATTAATATATTTTTTTTAAAAAGTGCAAATGAGTCCCAACTAAATTTATTTACAAATTTAAAAAATTAAAAAGTACAAACGAGTCCCAAATAAATTATTAAAGAATTATAAATTAAAAATATTTTTTATTTAAATATGAGTGTATATTCATTATTTCACAGCTCTTTATCGAAAAATTGGATGAAAATATATGAAAATGATGATTTGTACAATTAAATGTGTAATTAATGATGAAAATGCCAAAAAAAATGAAAGATATTGACGTTTTTCGCAATAACGATGAAAGATATGTACATTATGTACTAATTACTCTTTTAATAATTTATTTGGGACTCATTTGTACTTTTTAAAAAAAAATTGGGAGGATGGTTGCAATTAATTTTTTTTTCTTTTTTTTCTATTTAAAGATAATGGTATATTCGTCATTTCACATTTTTAATTAAGAAAATATAAGAAAATGACTTTTTGAACAATAAATGTGAAAATAAGAGTAAAAATGCCAAAAAAAAATAAAAGATACTGATATTTTACACAATAACAATAAAAGATGGGGACGTTATGTGCTAATTACCGTTCTATTTTCTATGTTTGTTAATTATTATAGATTTTTTAATTATGTTAAATTTAATTTTTATTCATGATTCTTGTTGAATAAAAAAAAAAAAACCATTTATTTATGTTCCAAATTTAGAGCTTGTATGGGAGAAATTAAAATCCAATTAAAATTAAAAGGGTCTATCCCCTTGTACCGAAAAGGGGGTACCGAATTTTGTACCCCCCTCACAAAAATGTGGCCCCCACGTGTATTAAAAAAGTGGGCTCGTGGTCCACGCTTTTTGGTGTGAGTGAGGTGTAAAAGATTAGGTAAAATATGATGTACATGTAGTATAACTCAAATTGAAAATATAGTCGTTATTGGGCTAGTATTTCGATTTTAATCTCCACCGAACACACTCTTAAAGTTATTTATACTGTATAATTCGCGAATGTTGGGTGGATTCGGTGAACTTGGTGTGGATATTTTATTTTTTTAATTAATAATTTATACTATTAAATTAGATCATTCTTTTCAAACTCATTCATTACTATGATATTCTAGGCCCTTGCTTGGCCCCTCGTTATAATGAAGATTCGTGAAAAAATGTATTTTGTAATAGTAATTTTTTAAAGAATATATGGTTGATAAGAAAAGAATAATTCGACGAAATTAGAATTATATGTAGTTAGTACCTTGCTACCAAATAACGAATGAGATTAAATTACACACACACACAAAAGGTTTAACCAACTTGCAATGCACATTTGCTTAGTTTATATATAATTTTTTTGATTAAGAATTAATTTTTTATTAATAAAGATGTAATTTTTTTGTAATTAAATAACAAATGATGTAATATTTATATAATTGATATATAATTACACATTGTGAAATATTTAAAAAAAAGCATTAAAAAAATCTACAGCGTAGTCCTATAAATAAACATCGCTCATAGTTTTATAAAAGCTGTTTGAGATAATTTTGATTCTAAGATAACGATTCAACATTTTCTTCATCTTGCACTGTTTCAATAAAGAGGACATTAAACTGCATATATTTTTTCTCCTTTAGTTTCTCTAGATCTACATAAACTTGAATCTTCCAAATTTTTTTTGATAATTTATCTGCAACGCTTTTAACATATAGTCGATTTTCCTACCAAATAAATTTTGAATAGGTTTACATAATTAATAAAAAAACCCAATTATTTTTTAAATAACTCATTATAATAAAAATCAAGTTTTGAAGAAAATTTTAAGAAATACCTCTCCAGCATGTCCCATCAATTCAACTGTAGAACAACCAAGTGCATGTTCTGATACTTCACCAAACATAGTAACAACTAGTTTTCCAGTATTATCATCAAGTTCAACATATCCCCTAACACTTTAAATGTGTTGAATATATTAATTTTAATTTGAATAGTGTTAAATTCTAAATTAAATCAGACATCAATTTTAAATTAAAATTGTAAGAT